AACTGAAAGACAGAAAGTCTGGGAGTTGTTGGGGGAGTGAAATGGAGAATAATTTAAATTCCCTAGGCTCTTCCCCAAGGCAGGATGAATGACCGTATTTGTTCCTTGTTTTCCTAACACTTTACTGTGCCAAAGTCTAGCAATTGCTGCCCTGGTACCCTCTTATCTTCTGCCGGAGAGTGATGGGCAAGGCTCTGTCAGGGAAAATGGCTGGTCAGCCTCTGCCCTGGGGAATCTGGGGGAAGGGGCTGGGGGATCATTTCTACCTGCCATCTCATGGTCTCATCTTGAGGTCGGATGTAACCAGCAGACTGCTCTGCAGAGGCAAGAGACCATCGTTTAACCTCATCTCTTTGCCCTGAAGCTCCTGCAGACCTCAGGATATGGATCCTGGCTTCTCTCCACTAAGGAGGAGAAGGGGACACCTGCTTTATTGAGAGCTCTCACCCCATTAGATAGATGCATAAACCAAGGGAGGGACAGAAGCCATCTGCAAGGCCCAGTTTGTGAATCAGTGGGAGGGTTGGGCACAGTGTGACCATCCTGCTACTTTACTCCAAGGCTTCTCTCTTTCCAATCCTTCCAGACTCTGGGGATGTCTGTGCCTCCAGAAAATGGGAAACACAACTCACAAGAGGGAGGTGGGGAAAGTAAAACAAACCTGGGGACACCACTCACTCTGTGCCCTTTCTCCAACTTCAAGCCTGAATCAGAAGGGGACCCAGGCCAGCCCCAGTGAAGAAATGGCTGCCAGCGAAAGGGACCATTGGGTGATACCACGTAGGTAAGGCATAACTGTTACAGACCTAAGGTAAGTATATCTAGGAAGAGCAGAAGGAAACAAGTATCTTTCACAACAATCACAAAGTACAATCTTTAGAAAAATCGTACTTCCTTCTTTCTGTGCATCTACTCTTAGCTTGCTGGAGACTAGCGGTCAGAAGGTGGCTGGGGCAGGGCATCCATCCCCCAAGGGGCCAGTTTTGCTGGGAGAGGGTGGGTGGTCCAAAGCTAAGTGGTCAACTGTTCATCACTGTGACCACATGTCCAGCTCCTACCAGGCACAAGGTTCTTCCTGGTGTTCTGTAATTGACTCTCATTTGGGAAAATAAAGGCTCAGAGAGGTAAAGCAACTTGCCCGAGGTCACACAGCAAGTGGATGGAAACCTGGTCTGGGTTACCTCAAATCCTGCCTCTTTCTGCTGCCCTGCAGGCTTCTCAGTCCCCAAGGGCAGCCTGTACTCTGAGCACCTGCAGCGGAGGAGGCAGAGAGATAATACTAGCAGGGCAGAAACCTGGTCTGGGTTACCTCAAATCCTGCCTCTTTCTGCTGCCCTGCAGGCTTCTCAGTCCCTAAGGGCAGCCTGTACTCTGAGCACCTGCAGCGGAGGAGGCAGAGAGATAATACTAGCGGGGCAGCTCCTGACGGGACCGTGAGGTTGAGGGATGGGGCAGGCCAGCCCCCTGCTGTGTGTGGAGCTGAATCTCAGGAAAGGGAGCCCAGAGCCCTTGGGAAAGTGGGTGGGGTCTAAGCCTGTTCACTTACCTTTGTGACTTACAAGGAGTGAGTGGTCAGGACACCACCAGTCTCAGCACTGTTGCATTTGGGCTGAATATTTCTTTGTTGTGGGGAGCTGTCCTATGCATTATAAGATGTTTAGTGGCATCCCTGTCCTTTATCCCCAGATGCCAGTGGCACCCCCCAAATTGTGACAACCAAAAATGTCTCCAGACAATACCAGCAGTCACCTGCCAAGGGCGCAAAATTGAGACTTACTGGTCTAGTGGAAGGAAGCCTCTTTTATAACTAAGGAGCCTGGGCTATTAGGGACACCACTCCCTAAGTAATTGGGCCCAGGGTCACCAGGCCTGGTTTGTTGGGGTCTCCTTGGAGGCCCTGGGGGGCATCACTTGGGGTCTTGAGCCAGGATCTGTGCCCAGAAGAACTCAGTGGGAAGTGGAGGGCCAAATAGGGGTGGGTGAAGTCTCTGGGGGCAGTGGGCTCGTGGCCAGGGTGGAGGGTAGAAGGGACACAGGCTGAGAGTCATCCCTGCTGCTTTTAGGGTCAAACAGGATAGAGTGGAGGATAAGAGCATGAGTTTTGAGTCAGACAGACCTGGCCCTGAGTCCTGTGTGACACTGGGCAAATGGCCTCATCTCTCTGAGCCTTACTTTCCTCATCTACAAAATGGGATGATCAAAGAACGACCTCCAAGGTCTATGGCAAGGATGAAACGAGATGATACATTTGATTCATAAGCGCTCACTAATGTCTCCTGCTACTAACAATACTGACAGCAGCTCTTATTCCTACAGATATTAGCAGTAACAACAACAGTAATAGCCCAGGCTCCTTAGTTATAAAAGAGACTTCCTTCCGCTGGACCAGTAAGTCTCAACTGGGGGTGATTTTGCCCCTCCTGGCAGGAAACTGCTGGTGTTATCTGGAGACATTTTTGGTTGTCACAATTTGGGGGGTGCCACTGGCATCTGCAGTAATAGCCCAGGCTCCTTAGTTATAAAAGAGACTTCCTTCCGCTGGACCAGTAAGTCTCAACTGGGGGTGATTTTGCCCCTCCTGGCAGGGGACTGCTGGTGTTATCTGGAGACATTTTTGGTTGTCACAATTTGGGGGGTGCCACTGGCATCTGGGGATAAAGGACAGGGATGCCACTAAACATCTTATAATGCATAGGACAGCTCCCCACAACAAAGAAATATTCAGCCCAAATGCAACAGTGCTGAGACTGGTGGTGTCCTGACCACTCACTCCTTGTAAGTCACAAAGGTAAGTGAACAGGCTTAGACCCCACCCACTTTCCCAAGGGCTCTGGGCTCCCTTTCCTGAGATTCAGTAGGGGGTAGAGGACAGGGATGCCACTAAACATCCTACAATGCATAGGACAGCTCCCCACAACAAAGAAATGTTCAGCCCCAAATGCAATAGTGCTGAGACTGAGAAACTCTGCTCTAGGCCTGTGCTGTCCAGGACAGTGGCTGCCAGCATGTGGACTTTGAGCACTTGAAAAGCGGTTCGTCAGCGCTGAGATGTGTTATAAGTGTAAAACACACACCGGATTTCAAAGACTTAGCATGAAAAAAAAATAATGGAAGTTATCTCAATAATTTTTATATTGATTACATATTGAAAGGATAATATTTGAGTATATTGTTAAATAAAATATAATATTAAAATTAATTGCCCCTCTTTTTAAAAATGTTGACTAGTAGAAAATTTTAAATGGCACATTAAAGATGTGGACGACTAGAACTTTTAAAATGACAAATGTGGCTTTATTGTGGCTCACATTTGATGTCTTTTGGACAGTGCTGGTTTGGACTGCACTGCCTCTCTCGGTGGTGGTAGTGAATCTTAAGTACAGGTTAGGGGGGTGTGGATTGTTGTGGCTGTGGCTGGCATTTTAAGGAAGGACAAAGGTCACACCTCTGCCCCTGACCAGAGAGAGGAATGAGTATATACCTGCTCCACTTCCTGCCCCCACCTGGGCTGGGCCTCTCTCTGCCATGATAGAGCGAGGGCAGGGGGCCTGAGCATGGCTCTTCCTTGTCTCCCCACCACCCCACTGCAGGCACCATGCCAACCTTTTAGTCTGCACCAAAAGTACCCCAGCAAATAAACAGGCGGGTATGGTGACAGCTGAGGCTTAGACACCTGAGTGCTCTGGCTCCTGGCCCACTCCCTGGCGGTGCCCAGTTCAGAGCTGGGGGTGGAAAAAGGAGGGGAGCTCTCTCAGGCCACTGGTGCCTGGACCACACTCCACTGCTGTGTTGTGACCTCAGAGACCACCCAGTTCACCTCTGAGGTTTAGATGGGGGATGGTCGAGGCCCAGGCCCAGGCCAGGGGCAGAGGAGTGGAGAGGGTCCCTGGTCCTGGGGCTTGACGGTATCAAAGTGGCCAGTGCCTGCTGTGGAGGTGGCAGGAGACTGACTGGGCAGGTGGGCAGGGCTGCCAGGGCTACAGGAGGTAAAGGCAAGAATGGGCTGGGAGCATGTGTGGGAAGACACAGGGATGGGGTTTGATGGGGTCTGGGAGAAGCAGGGTGCCCCAGGTGAAAGGGTGATTTGGGAGCAATAGCCACGTTGGCACCTCTGTGTGAGCTCAGCTTGAGGCACAGAGAGGTTAGGAGACCCACCCAGGCCATCAGAATCCGGCATGCCCTCTCCTCCCAACACTGACCCGTCCCACCCTAGCAATAGGGAACATTTCAAATATTTGGAGCAGAGGGCTGCAGATAAAAGCCCAGCATGACCCCACCGGAGGCTCACTCCACCTCATTCGCACCAGCCACACCTTCCCAAGGCCCATCCCACACACTAGGGGAGATAGATCATCTGACTTCCTGGGGCTGGGGTTGCCTATCCTATGACCTGCTCTCTCAGAAATCCTGCATTCTACCAAGTTCTTAGAAGAGGGGGAGGTAACAGGATCCTAAGTCAGGGGCACACTTCAAAGACCCCAACCTTTGCACCCTGAGTCCCAGGCCCTCAGCAGGTGGAATATGGTCCCTCTCTGATCCCACGGGGAAGTCAGAGGAAGGCATTTGGGGACATGGAGCTAACAGCCTGTGCCTGGAGACAGGCAACCACTAGCAGCCCCCGCCCCCAAGGCGAAATCGGAGCCTGAGCAACCCCTCAGGGCCAGATTTTGCCCCGGGGCAGCTTCCCTCTGCTCCTGCCTCAGCGCCCAGCAAATCTCCAAGGGAGGAAGCAGGCGTGGAGGCTGGGGAGGGTCTGAGAGCAGAGGTGTGCTGAGGGGAGTAGGGAGGTGAAAGGCGACAGGACGGTGGAGAGACTGAGGGTGCCGAGGTCGCCCTGGGAGAGGAGCTGGAGAGGGCCAGGGTGGGAACTGGAGTGAACGGGAGCTGGGGCTGAAGCTGCGTCAGGGTGTCTGGGAGGGTCTCGGGATTTCTGGGGGCGAGATCTCGGGCTGCAGGCCGCGGTGGGTGGGATGTCGGGGCGGCGCGGTGGCCGCGCTCACCTGTAGACGTCGGTCCAGAGGTAGGTGCCCAGCACGTAGACCGCATCGACGCGGCTCCCGTACTGCAGCCGCACGGTCCGCTCGCGCAGCATCTTCCCCGCCCGCAGTTCCCGGCCCTGTGCCCGCGCTGGCTCGTCCAGGTGCGCCCGGAGCACCTGCCGCAGGTGAGCCCTCTCCAGCAGCACGCGCCCGCCGCTCCCAGGCGAGCCGCGTTATCCTGCCGCC